TTTTCTGGAGAGAAGTCACGGGCTCAAACACAGAAGTACATATCCGGATTTGGAGTTCGTGTTGAAGCCGACTTCCACTCGATTATAATGGTCTGCAAGATAATGCACTTACTCCCAGCGCATAACAGAAAGAAGCCTTTAATTATTGTTCTGTAAATTTCACCAAGTGTGTTGTACCGGAACCTCAGAGAAATAATCTTAGGTAGAAATTCTCATTCGCTGTTGGACAAAAACAAACTTGCGTGTGAACACATGGCATACTAGCACACTTGCTGTCGACGCCGGCGGTCTGGTAGCCTTGTCGATGCTCGAAAACGACAGATTAAAAAAAAAAATAGCAGGTCGCTACAAGTTCCGGTTTTCCAATGCAGGGGTATGAATAATCTGTTCATGAAAGAAATATCGAGGCAAGAAATTCAATCGTGCTTCGGCTTAATTTGCTCATTACTCCACTTTTTAGTTCCCTTGTAGCTTCCCTTGAATAGTATAAGGTCGAATGTTTTAACCCTTTAATTCTGTTTGTTTTAACTCTCAAGATCTGTTTATTAATTCCACTCTCTAGCTACTACACATTTCCTTGTAAGATAATTAACAACTTCTACCTAATAAGTTGGAGTATTCTGGACGAGTTTGCTGGATAATGTATGAATATTCTGGACGAGTTTGCTGGATAATGTATGAATATTGTAGGGAGAAGTTAGATGTTAATCAGTTTTGGAGTTAAAGGGATTGAAATTATAAAAGGAAGCATTGTGGGGGATTTTCTATCCCGTGGTCCACAGCTATAAACAGCAGGTTTGAGGAGCGGGATATCAAACACATCCTTGTGATCTCTGCTTGTCTTGTGTTCGAGTAATATTTTTATTATTTCCGGTAGGGTCACATTCACGCTTTCGATTACCCACTGTTTTGAGGGCCACAGCCATTAATAAACATAAAGGAAGCGTGTTCTTCGTTTGGATAATTGAAGTGACCTCACAGATTGTGCAGCCTCTTGTTGGGAAAATATACGAACCAAGTGTAAAGGTAAGCGATTGGATGTGTCGTAGCTCAGCAAACCGCGATTTGATAAGCAACTGGGGCCTGACACGAACTAGCGCATAATTTCTCTGTCTGTCTGACCTTGGCATAATGGTGATTGTTGGACGAGAAATTCGAGTTCATGTTACGTTTATATCAATGGGTCAATTGTATAGCTAGATGATAAACCGTAGATTCTGCCAGGACCTATAGGAAATATAAGCTGAAAGGTGAATATAATTACCTTGGCAATCGTTTATTTGGAAAGCCTTGGCGGCTTGAAGTTAAGCAAAGAGTGTGTCAAGATTTTTTCAGGTAACTGTTGACGGGACTTGAAATTTTAATTTCATAGCACTATCAAGGCAAAGAAGAAAATTTAGATTGAGCAGTTTTGTGTCGTTCATTTCTGGATTTCGGTTTCACGAATTAAGACAGATTATCTTCTCTCCATGACAAAGGTAATTATTGTTAGGTTTCAATGCCAGGCGAAGAAATTCCCATTAAGAGATGAATAGGATTATTGATGACTTGACAGCCAAAGCTGACATTTGCAAATTTTGAAAGGAATTATTTATTACGAAATTCAACAGAGTCAATCATTATCCCTCAGCGTTTTTTCTGGCTCCAGAAATAAACAGCACTACATGCATAGTTATTTTCCTAACGTCTGCAACATAGACTGAAAGAGAAACTTTCTTTAATTCACATTTTTCGGATGCGGCCCATCGTTCGTTTGAGAGTTTTCGGCTTTCAGAGGGTTACGAACGAGTAAATTAGGAAACAATAGAACAGTTAGATGAGATTTGGGAAAGGTTAAAAAGGTTTCTAGACATTTATCAATATAATCCACCGAAGCAAAAAAATATTCAAATTTTGTTTACGTCCAAAGATTTGGGATTAAGCGAGTTTTACATAGGCATTAAGATTAATGAGTTTCGTTGATAAGGATTGGAGGAAAAAACAGCTTCAACACCGTATGAAAACGAGTTTGATAATCTCGTGATTCCATGATATCCCGAAATGAAAATTACTAAAATTATTGCTCAGAAGCATGTTTCGGTTCTCATACGAGAATTAAAAACGCAAAGAAAATAAATTATACAAGATCAGGCAATTCTTTGCTGGAGTTACAGAAATAGTTACGAACTGTGAACGATAAAAGAAAACCTGGCGGTAAGGTTTGTAAGCGGGTGATTCAGAGGTTTAAAAAGAAAGACTAAAAATGACACAGTTTTGTCAACTAGTGTTGCAGGTTTCGTTTGTTCAATGACCAGATAAATGTAGAATGTTTACTGGTTTTGCATCCGGTGCGAGTTTCAAGAACCAACACCAAACGTATTACTGAAGACTATGAAACTTACCTTAACTATGAAACTTGTTAGAAAACGGCCATCACTGAAAAAGCCGTTAAATCAGCGAATTCATTTCAGAACTTAACTTCGGAGGGTCGTAGGTGGAAAGCAGATTGGCCTAAAATCTGGCGTTACTTAAAGTCGACGCGATTGCTGCTCTTGAGAGTCTTTCAAGCGAACTAGATGAGCAATCATGAGTTTAAATCTATTTTAAGTTTCATAACAAAAAAAATTACACCCCAAACACTTATCAGAACGAAGAAAAAACAATAAGAGCCTAGAAGAACTTAAAGTGAAAGCGTGCAATCTGTCTGAAGCGTGGGAAAGCACGATACATCTCGTCGCATGCATCTGATATGGTCAGATGATGATACGAGTTTCTAGACCAATCACCGAACGATGAAAGGAAAAATTAATTCTTCCATGGAAAACTCCTGAAGTTCTATAACGATCAAAACCGTGTGGATAACAACTGCGGTCTATTCTTCTGTCAGTGATGAATAAAAATAACTGAAAGACGATTGGGCTCGTCACTAAGATCCAAATTGATCCAATTATTGGTCATCATATATTAAAGTTCTGATTGGTCATCATTTATCCAAAATTCTTTCCTTCGACGGTTGTCGAACCGGTAAATTTTTGGCTCACTCTTGGTGCGAGAACTTGTCCCTCCACTGGCGATTGACGGAGAACGAAGAACACAAAGAAGTCAAGACAGTTGATCTTAAAAAATTATTGGTGACAACACAAAGAACAATACACTATTTCTTGCACCGAGGTATGCCTTAAATTTTTCTTGACGACTGCTGTAGTGTTGTCTGTAAATGCATTTTAAACCAGTGTGTTTTTTAAATTGTTAGTTATGATGTTTATCAATTCGTTACTCTTTTACGAGTTTTTAATCATGGGGTGTTATGTAATGTTACGTAGATAGACGTTATACATTTTCGGTTGATTATCTAACGCAAAAAGCATTGTGACGAAAACATGAGGTTGAATGGGAATATTTACGGCCGCTCTTAGGGATAAAAAAAGTCAAATTAGCTAAAAATACCTCAGCTGACTTCCACAGTGCATCGCTTGTTGTCTGACAGCTTACTTTATTGAAACGAGGCCGTTTTAGCGAGTTATCCATTCTTAGGTTTCTTACTCTTAAGAGAAGGACAAGGCTGCACACTCCATTACCGAGAAGCGAAAAATTCAAGCTCAAATGACCAGGCGGCCACAAATCCAGCGCAGAATCCAAGCACAGCGGAATTCACCGTGAATTCACGGTGAATTGAACAGTAATTTCAATTCACCACCAACTCATGATCAGTGCTTAATCCGGTGGTTTCAACAAAGTGAGCGGTCAGACAACAATTGTTGCACTGTGGAAGTAAGAAGCAATGAGAATTTAAGAGCGGTCGTAAATATTCCCATAATTTCGCCACGACGCTTCTTACGCAAGATGATCATCTCACAGCTGGAGCTTGGGCCGCCTGCAATGTACTAAGAAAACTTGTGTGTGTATGAGAGCTAGATCCAAATTAATTCCACAGTTTCATCGTAGGATTCCTGAAACGCTGACAAGTAAGACGCAGTCGGGTGGAAAGCCCTCCTGAATAATCCCTATGTCGTATTTGGGTCGTATAAATGAATTTGCGCCGGCAGCGATTGGAAACATGTGAAACGCATCAATTTGATCGCATTGTGCATTCATAATGACATAGTTTTCACACATGAGTGGCACCCGAAATGAACAAAACGAGGATTTTCATTTTGGTTGTAGGCTCATCAGCGATGTAAATTCAACAAACACGGTGAACCGCGTTGACGGTGTGAAGTTAAGGAACTGAAGTTTAAGAACTCGTGTTTAAGTACTTATATGTGTTTCCTTCGGTTGTTCTCATCCACCGGAGAAGCGACATACTCATGGTATTAACCCATTGCCTCGCTAACTACTGGAAATCTAAGGTGTTCCTTGCCCACAGAACTGAAATCATTTTAGGCGTATTCAATAGTGATATCTATTAATATGGTTTACATTAATACAGTTTTTATAGAGAAATGTTATACATCTTACACTACACATTTTCGATTGTTCGTGTAATTCGTAGATTTGTGCACCGGTTTTTGGAGAAATATGTTATGTAACCGCGGCTTGCGGTCCGCGGTTTGTGTATGAATGCTATTCTCGAGATGAAGAGTACTGGGAACGAGGTTGAGTGAGTCTCTAAGAGCACCAAAAAAAAAAAAATTCTTGAAGATGCCTAAATCTTTTACACCCCAACATCAGTATGCATGGTCTCCATACTGTTCCATAAACATTTTCAAAGGTATTTACATAGAGAATTTTCTTAACAGTCAAGATATTTCCTTTTGAATCTTTTGCTCTTTTTCTTTTACAAAAATGCAAACATCAGTTACGAAGCGTCCCATCTCAGCTCATCCATCAAAAACAAAAACAAAAAAGTCTTGCATAGGTAGCGTGCCTATGTTTTGATCTTGCGATTATTTCCTTTATTCACGTGTAAGGAGAAATCAGATGCCAGTCATTCTTAAAAGGATTAACTTGTTTTGTATCTTCTTAGCTGTGGCCTTTTTTCAAGATCTTTTTGCCATATCTTTTTTTGTTCTGTTTCGTATATTTTCGTAGACAAGCTTTCTTCCTTGGACAACTCTATCATGAAGTCAACCTCTGAAGTTAAAACAGACGATGGCCACTCGGTTGTAAACGGCTCAGCGCACAAGTACTCTGGGGAATCTACTACACAGAATGGCCATGTATCTGCCAAACAGAATGGTCACGTGCCTGACTTGCAGAATGGTCACGTCGCAGAAACACAGAATGGTTACGTAGCAGAAACACAAAATGATTACGTGGGTCCGTCAGCCTCCGATTCACAGCACGACACTGCTCAGCTGCTCGTTAAAAGGAGAAAAGTAGGAAACCGGGTCCAGGATGCCGAGAGAGTTAGAACCAAAAATGAAATTATTAATTTGTCCCCAGGCCTACCAGGTTTCAGCGCCAATATTATAGGCTTCCTCATGTTGCTATGGCCACCAGTCTGTGTTGCCTTCTTCTGGCACGCCTGTCACACATATCAGTGCTCTCTTGGAGATTTGGGGGGGCAAGTGCTGCACGAGATATCCGCCTGGACCATCATCGTCTTCGCGAGACGAAACATCCCGGAAGTTAGCGCAGGTTCGATAAAGTTGTACAGCGCGTGGATGCTTCTGCAAGTGTTTTTGTTCTTGGTACTTCCTGGTCGCATCAGACGTGGAACAGCTACGCCTGCTGGAAACGTACTGACTTATAACTGTAATGGCTTAAGTGCTTGGGTTGTGTCTCACGTTCTGTTCTTTATCTTGGTGAAAATGGGCCTGATACAGGCAACGATTATCAGCGACAACTGGGGAGCCTTGATGGTCATTTCCAATGTGTTTGGCTTCAGTTTGGCCCTCTTCTCCTACGTCAAAGCGCATTATTTTCCCAGTCATCCGGAAGATCGGTGTTTCAGTGGATCGTGTTTCTACGACTTCTTTATGGGTATCGAGCACAACCCCAGGATTGGTCCTTTTGATTTCAAGTTGTTTTTCAACGGAAGGCCTGGAATTGTGGCCTGGACATTGATCAACCTGTCATTCGCTGCCAAGCAGTACAAGGACTTTGGTTACGTTAGTAACACAATGATTCTCGTCAACTTATTGCACGCCACTTATGTTGTTGACTTCTTCCTCAACGAATCCTGGTATCTGCGCACTATCGACATCGCCCACGACCACTTTGGCTTCTACTTGGCCTGGGGAGACACAGTCTGGCTTCCCTTCATGTATACTCTACAAAGTGTTTACCTGGCCCGAAATCCAGTGAACCTGCCCTGGTGGGGATGTGCAGCCACCCTCTTAATGGGTTTGACGGGTTACTTGATCTTCCGATCTGTCAATCACCAAAAAGATTACTTCCGGGTGGAGATGAAGACGAATGGTAAATGTACTATCTGGGGCAAACCTGCTCGGTACATTTTAGCACCTTATGCTACCACCGACTCCAAGCAACAAGTCTCTTTCCTTCTGGCTTCTGGTTGGTGGGGACTCTCCCGCCATTTCAATTACGTCGGTGACTTGCTAAACGCGTTGTCGTACTGCTTAGCGTGTGGGTTTGGTCACGTGTTGCCGTATTTCTATATTGTTTTCATGTTGTGCCTTCTGATTCACCGTTCGTACCGTGACGACGTAAGATGCAGGCAGAAGTATGGCGTGCACTGGGAGAAGTACTGTGAAATAGTACCCTACAGGATCATTCCGTACGTGTTTTGAAAAAAGTTGAAAATGCCAGTAGCTGCACCTATATATTTGCTTTTTTCGCAGAAAAACAAATTTTCCATCAAACGACATGATACAAATTTGCCGCTAATGAACAACAGGGGAGCATAGGGTCAAACAGTCTTGTGGTCGGTAGATGTGGACATAACTTCGTGAACACGTCTGTCACTTATTTATCTTGGTGTTGGGAATTTAAAATTGATATTTATCACAAGTTCATTATATTCGGTGAAATAATCAGTCACCGCGAGAAAATAATTTTTCTATACCCGTATTATACTTGCTGTTAATGTTAGCAGTATTGATCATAAAAATTACAATTTCCTCGCTTGTGATTGGTTAAAAAAACTCCTGTTTTCCACTAATACACTTGCCAAGTTGTTATCGGACAGTTTGTCATCAGAAAGTTCAATGAGCCAATCACATTCAAAGTTGTAGTTTAAGTCAACCAATCATATTCAAAGTTGTTATTAAAAGTCAATTTAAGAGCGGCATTACACAATTTACACCCACTTGTCAGTCTTTAAATGAAAATTTTCCCTTTCTTTCATAATTTGGCTATTCTTCTTTTCTCGGAAATTGTAATTTTTATGATCAATTTGTAACAAGACTTCGTGTCGTCCAATTCGGTCTGTAATCATACTCGTGATAAACAAATCGGTCTCCCGCTACGCGGTCCTCCGATTTTGTTATCACTCGTATGATTACAGACCGCTTTTGACTCTACTCAGTCCTATTACTATTACTAGTCGAGACAGAATTTCTCTAATCTTGAATTCGGTGAGGAATTACATGTTCTCTTTTTGTGACAGTTACCCTCTTCAGAGATTCATGTTTGATTTACCAGGCTCGCCTTAGGAAAGAAATAATCTCTTTACACGAGGAATATGAGGGTGATCATCTTTAATAAGGAAGATTTTTGTACAAGAAATTTCCGCAAAATACCTGTCATGTATTTTCGATATTTATTTGTATTTTTAAAATGTACTTATTTTAGATAAACCTATTCTGAATTCACTATCAGATAAGAGTTCACTTTACTATAATCTCAATGCAATTTAACACCTCGAGGTGGCTGTATGTGCAAATAATTATCAGTTTTTTCTTTAATATTTTCCGCGTCCATTTTTATTCATAAATAGTATATTCGTTCTAAGAGTACGTTAATTTACGGAGAAGGGCCTCCTCCCTCCCCAGACTTGAATGAGTGGCTACTACCATTTGTAGGGCAATTTTCAGTGGAGTCCTGGCCCGGGTTGTTCAAAGCTGGGTTAAGGTAACCCAGGGTTAGTGTGAAATTTGATTTCAGGTCTGAAAGCTTTAAGAGAAAATTCAGTTCAAATCTTTTTGCTTGCGATCTGATCATTGGATGTTCTAAAAATAATAGTGAAAATTTTCCCTAAAAGACTTTTGGACAAAGAAATAAAGAAACCTGAATTAAAATTTAACCCTGGGTTCGGGCTAATCGGCCTTTGAACAACTGGGCTCTGGTCTGCTTTGGGCTTGTTTCACTTCACATTGTGATTTGTCCAAAATCGGCAGAGAATGACTTTTGATTTTTTTAGTTTGTAGTTTGAATCCCAATCGAAATCCTGCACGTTCTTACATTATACAAAGCAGTAATTGGGTTTCTTATCAACACTCCTTTATCGTGGCACCCAAAGAGAATATAAGCCCGCATATTGAGCGATTTGCTGCTTGAATTTGGGTACAGCTCAAAATTCGCCAGGTAAAGCCGAATTTCAGTACGTTCCAGAGATACAGAACCGATTGGTCAAGCTACAGTATGAGACATAGTAAAGAAACACTGGAGAGGAAGAGGTGTTACGGCGAAGAAATACCAAAAACAAACAGAAGCGGGGAAGCTATGAGCAGCGGGGGGGAAGAGACGAAAAATTTGTAGCTATTACTTCAATTAGTCTATAACATCAGAATGAACACAGTAATATATAGAAGGTGACCAATCGATATGTTTCAGACTTGACTAAATGATTGTTGGGTTGTTTGTCACTTTTGTGTTTTAAAGCTTGTGACGCATAAGTTTTAAAAAGATGAAAACGTGCAGGCTGAAACAAATTGTTTTTAAAATAATCGCACATCACGATGATAAACTTAGCATGGCACGTACCTGTGGTGTTCTTGGAAATATTGTTACGTTCTCAAATACATTACATTACATTACAGAAAAGAAAGCTGAGGGAATTGAGTCAGGTTTTGCCTTGTGGCTAATTGGTGCAATCACAGAGCAGCAGAATGGAGGGTCTTTTCAAGGTGATGAGCTCTCTTGACTGAAAACTTCAACGCCTGTCAACATGAATGCAGAGAAGGTCACGAAAATACGGGCAGAGCTGTACTGGACACAAGTTTCGTGCACATGTAAGGCCAATCACGGTATAACGATTACTTCAACAAAAGAACTGTAATCAAAGGATTTACGAACAGCTTTGTTTCACATTCCACGGTTAACATGTATATCTTCTGTAGAATAAACAGACTAAGTTTTAAAAAAGTGAAAAAGAAAACACTACAACTGATGCACAAATTGCAAGAAAAACAGAGAGCGTCTCTGTCAAAATCCGCCCCTTCGTGGTAAGAGACGCATTCTGCGACTCTTCGAAGAAAAGACTCTCAGGGCTCTATAATTATAGACTTCATAAAAATTCCTAAAATGTAAAACGCGCGGTGGGTCGGTTCATTGTAAAGATATCCAATTGAGATAATAATTGACTGCGAACGCCGGCGGTCTAATGTCTTGGAATGCTCGGGAACAAGACTTCACAGGCCAGCTTTGGTTACCATTCCGGCACTCGTTCAGTGTTTTGACGGCGGGTCAGCACCCTCTAACAATAGCATAATGAAAACCTTTCTGTTTTAAAGAGAAATTAAATAAATTATTATACAAACATCTGAGCAGTGAAGCGGAGAGCGCTTGTCAGTTGTCAAACACCACAAAAAACGTGTCACTTCCAAGTCTTGTGGCGGTCAGTGTCAGATTGTTTCCACTTGCGGTATGCTCTGCTATTTTCGGTTTCTATCAACATACCAGGCTGTTAAATAGCCCTAAGCATTGAATACTGAAACATAAGAACGAAAGAACGCCTCGAGCAAAGCTGACAAACAAGAATAGGATACGGAACCAGTGGTTTCAAAGGATGGTTCCTAGAGAGACGAGGTATTATATCGTTGTTGTGGAATCTTTCGAGCTCATTATAGTTTATAGCTATGTATTGCTGTCCTTGTGGTCGCATCAAAGTTTGATTTTTTTTATTGAGTCACACCACAGCTAAGTTTGAAGTGTTTCCTTTCGTGTGATTTTTTATTCATGAGGCTTAATTTGACCACACGTAAATACACCGCTTCAACTTGTAACACCACCAACAGTATCCTCTACGAGGCACAGCTGCCTTCTCATTGGAAGAAGTCACCATCTCAGTGAAGAGAGCCGTTCGCTACAATACTGTGATTGACAATCCTTTCTTTATCAGAGGTGAGTCATGGTCGAGTTTTTAAGGCAGTTTAAATTCTTGTCGAGGTTTTGGGGATATATTGAGCCATACTTTAAGCAAATCCAACGGGTTACTTGGTTTCTATCGACGCTAGTCAGTAAGTGACTTATGGCTTACAGTCAATTGTCTTAACAAACTTTGCGGTCATGATGTCTGCTGGATTTTAAAGGAAAAGTGAATCGCAATTCATCATTCTTGTCAGTTGTGTGACACTGATCAATGAAAAGCTTAAACGAGCTCTTACTGAACGGCTATCGAGCTTGTTTACTTCGGAATCGTGCCGTTCTTGAGCGTCCGTCCTTACGGTCACTTGAATTACAGTCAAACCATATACTTGCGTTGATATTCTGTGGAGGAGTTTCGTTGGAGCCGTAACCAAGTTTAGTAATTTTCCGGAGTGGAGTGGATCGCAACGGTAAATGAAGAATTACAACGTAGACTGCGAAGCAAAGAAATCGTCACATTCACCATCGTTGATTCCAAGCTAACCGTTATTAGCAATGTTTTGATTCACTAATCAACTTATTAATGCTTTGTTAGATAAGACGGAACCAAGTTGAACAGTTTTAGTAAGATTATCATGTTTGTCTTGGCACTAACTGAATCATATGTGAATTTCTTTCCGGCGCGCGATACGGCTTCAAGCTTACATCTTTGATGAACAAACTAAAGTAAACTGCAGAGTTTACATTGTTTCAGAGGCTGTTTACATAGCGCAAAGCTCTCTTTGTTGTGCTTCAGTTTAAAGAATCTCTCCACGTTTTATGGTCTGTAACTTTAAGAAGACATCGAAACCACGAGCTTATGTCAAATGCGCATTTATTCTCAAGTGCTGTCGCGTCAATTATATTGGAGACATATGCTCGCCATAAAACAGCTGAAATTTTCGCTCCAACTAGTCGCGAATTGAGAAAAATCTAAGCAGAAAGATCAGACAAAACCGATCTTTGAGCAAGTTATTTTATTATTTCCCTTCGTTATTCTATCAAAACAAGATTTGGTAATAAGTAATAATAACAATCGATAGAATGTTATTCTATTAAAACAAGCCCTAAGGGCATGCGGTGAAAACGAAATGATCGACCGAAAACTTTAAAGCGACCCCAATCAAAAATAGAAGTAATAGCAAAAAGCAGTTGATATGAGCGTTTTTTTTGTTTAACCCCCAGCTGTGTTTAAAGAAGCGAGTTCTCTCACAATCTAAATAAAGTATCACCTCTACAGAAAAATCAATTTTCTGTCCGTTTCGTTTAAAAATCAATTTTCTGTCCGTTTCGATAAAATTTACAAAATGATAAAATAATTCAAACAGGGTCAGTAAGAGGCCGCTGAATTGTGCAGTCTGTCAATCAAACAATACCAATGGCGTATTTTGTTTTCTTAATAAAATAATTGTCATGAGAAAAACAGAATACCGATTTTAGATTATTCATGAGCGGAAAGTGCCGCTACAATTATTTTCCTTCAGCTAATTGCTGCGAAACAAAA